ACCCCACACACCCCACCCATGACTCCTGCAGGCTCTCGGTGAAACTGAAAGTGAAAGCAAAACTGTCTGCTGTGCCCTTAACACTACTTCTCACTCAGTGAAGCTCTTTTCAGATTAAAAATATCTTTGAGGAAATGTATTTTCAGATGCCCCTGCACTGAAATGGGCGAGACAGAGGTGGTTCTTAAAGAGACAGAGGCCAATTTCAAGGTGTTTAGAAGAGGAAGTGATGAGAAGTTAAGTTTATTTTCTATTTAAACATAAAAACAGCATTTTAATAACAGCTAAAGGTGACATAGATACTTTATTATGGTATAGTATTTAAAAATATGCCTGAGAAACACATAATATTGCCCCTTTAAAGACTGAAACTTTAACTCTAAAAGACAAAACACCCTGATCTCATTGACAACGCTCTCCTTTCCTCATCATCATGATACAAATTAAGCATCAAGAAGACATTTACGTGAGRTATTAGGTGCACTGCCACTGTAAGACCTTTGCAGTGTGACAGACAGAAAGGAATTACTGAAGTTAGCTAGGGAAAGGTACTGCTTCCTTTCCTTTGCTGAGGTTTTAGAGCAAATTTGTCCTCTGCAAAGCAACTGTTTGTTGGAAACAGAAATAATAAAATAAATAAATATATGAAAGAGTTGTCACCCGCTCCCAAACTCAGCCTGATTTGAATAAGCAGCAGCATGTGCCCAAGCGACAGCAAATGTGACAGTGTGATGATAATCCAGTGTTTGTGCCACTGTCACTGCGGCGACGCTCTGAGCCCGTCCAATGGGAGATCTCCCCAGGAGATTGAYAGGATGGAGGCCATCGGGGACATAACGTTTTAGGAGCTACGTTGGAAAAGATGGCAGGGGCATTCACATAGCTGCTGGTATTAATTCCTTTCAGTTTAAAAGGTGGTTCCACACGTCCATCCGCACAAAGTCCTGTTATGTATCCCAATCCCTCCTATTAATGCACTGCTTTTAATTTGACTCCTCGCTGTAATAAGTAACAGGGAGTGTTGCCTAAGAGATYAGGTTTTCAAATAAAAAAAACTGAAATTAATTTAAAGAAACATACRACGAAAAAAGTGATCAAAAGGAAGTGAGCACTTTTGATGAGGGAAAATGGAAATCTGGTCACAAACTCACCCTCTCCAAGGCAAAGGTGCGAACTGCGTAGTCAGCAAGGGTCTCTGTCTTCAGCAGGGTGATTTTGACATCTCCATACATCTCGCTGTCATCAGGCCAGTATTTACAGCACTTCACCTTTTTAACAACAACAATACAACAGTGTAAAGTTAGCTTAACGTGTCTCCATTTTCCTGACAAGCACATTTGTAAAAAAATGCTCAAAGGGATCCAAAATTACTTGTAACATTACTAAACATTTTCTTCAACTGTAAAAGAAAGACTGCATAAAGACTGCAGGCTGTTTAGTTTTGATAATTTACATACATATATATAT